TCACAGTAATTTGTAATAATTCATGTAATTTTACGCATTAATCATTTAAATGATAAAATATACATTCACATACGTATTTATATCAAATAAGATAAATTTCTGCATACATTGTATCGATGAAATATCAAAAAAAAAGAAGATAAACAACATAAAGACTAATTTGTATATCTTTTCCGTAATATTTGCTGGAAATCTTCATTTAATATCTATTTACATACAATATACATAACAATGTAATGAAATCAGTGTTTTCTAAATATTTAATGAAATATTAATGCCGATGATCACTTACATGCTGCCTCGTTTTGATGACAAATCGTTAGCCAAATTTTCAAGCCTTTGGATCTCTGCTTCGGCATTCCTTCGTATATTAGTGTTTTGAATTATTTTCGCATCTTGCCTCATACTCTCAATATTTGCGTGAAGTTCATCAACAAAGTTAAATCGAGAACAAATTTTACTTAAATCTTTACAAAGTTTATGAATGTATTCATATTTAGCATTAGCTGCATTTTGGAGTTGTGAAAGGTTTGATTGATAACTGTTAGCTTCAGTACTGTATTTGTTATATTGTTGGTTAGCCATATCATATTTTTCTTTCATGTCTTCAAGAACTTTGCTCAGTGTATGAGTTTTAGTAACCCATTTAACTTTATCATGGTAATTGAGATTAATAATTAAAAGAATTAAAAAAATAAATAATAATAATAAAGATTAATAAATTACCTTGTAGGCCCACAATTACATACGCTACATAAATTGTTTGACATACAAGAGCAACCAGAAAAGTAGCTAGTTCCAGAGTATGTTGTTTCATTAAGTCCACAATAATCGTGGCAAATTTTCTCTTTAAAATGAAGAGTACAGACGGTGCTATGATAATCGGATTTTTCAATTTCTTTGAGAGTAATTGTTTCAGTTTTTGTATAGTTAGAATAAGAATTCTTTTGATTGCCAGTTTTTTGTAATAGTTTCTGAGCGGCTTCAAGATGATCTTGAACTTGTTGAATATTTGCGATGTCTTGAGTCACTTTTGCTAGTTCAGATTTAATTTGATTTCTATAAGTTTTCATATTTTCAAAGGCTTTAGTTGAAGTAGCAGAAAGATCAGTAATCGTTTCTAATAATCTGTTAATAGTATTAATAGACTTTTTCCAATTATGTTCAACGTTGAAACGTTCTTCTTCATCATCCTTACAGATTTTAGGGTCAGTGCAGAAAAATTGATTATCCATGTAAAAAATTTTCTGATAGTATTTTAAAAAAAGAAAGGTTACTATAGTAATTTGTTAAGAATTAGAATAAAAATTTCTAACCTTTGGCTTTGCAATTTCCTTTGAAAAAACACATTCAGAAAAAGAAGCACTGCTTTTTGTGCACTTTGTCAAAATAAGTAAAAGGTTGCCTAACAGATCATCAGGAAGGTTATTTGACAGTCGAACCAACGTGTTCTTGATTGATGGTGTAACTCTAGCCTCAGTTCCATTTGCAATAATTATGATAGCTGATAATGAACCGGCAGAAATTGCTGTATCTATAATTTCTTGAATATTCTTGTCATCTTGTTTAACACCATTTGTATCACTTAATCCGGGTGTGTCAATGAGAATAAATTTATATTCAGGATTATCAGGATGATTAAAATTATAGGTATACCATTTTGTAGTTTGGCTCTTGGTTACATCATCAATTTTTGATTCCGAATGTTTACTAAGGTACTCTGAAATAAATTAGAAAAATTAATTTTTAAAGACAAATCTTGTAAATAATTTAATAAGATTTCAATTATACGTATGTGAATGTATATTTTATCATTTAAATGATTAATGCGTAAAATTACATGAATTATTACAAATTACTGTGA